ATTCCATCTTCCTGCTCCCCTACAGTATCAATGTTTTTTTCCACCAAGGCTTATCTCTCCTTGGTGGAGAAAAACCTGTTCCTTGTCCACAGACCTGCTCAAATCTTCCTCATCCTGAACCACACCCCTCAGCCCTACTCCAGCCCCTTCCTCCCACTACAAACCCTCACCAAGGCCTCTAACGGCCCCACCTCCTCACCATCCATGGCCCTCCAGAAGACAACTAAGAGACCACCTTCTAATCACCAAACCCAAGGATTTTTACTTTTCTCATCTTCACTAAAAATGCCAGCAATATCTTATGCTGCTGACCAAACCAGCCCTTGGCATCCTTCCTCTTGGTTTTTCCTTTTTTTTTTTCTTTCTTTGAGATAGGGTGTCACTCTTTCACCCAGGCTAGAATGCAATGGTGTCATCATAGCTCACTGCAACCTCAAACTCCTGGGCTCAAGTGATCTTCCTGCCTCAACCTCCTGAGCAGCTGGAACTACAGGTGGTCACCAGCATGCCTGGCTAATTATTCTTTTTTGTAGAGATGGGGTCCTGCTATGTTGCCAAGGCTGGTCTCAAACTCCTGGTCTCAATGGATCCTCCCACTGCGGGACTCCCAAAGTGTAGGGATTATAGGCATGAGCCGCTGGGCCTGCGACCTTCCCCCCATGTTGTTAATTGCTTTATTCCACAGGTTTGTTCTCAGTCTCTCACCTGTAGCTACTACTGCTTGGTGGGTACTCCCTAGCTAGATCTCCACTTGCAACTCAACCTGTCAAAATGGAACTCTTGTCTTCCAACTTCCTCCTCTTGAAGTTTCTTATTGCTGTTAACAGCAACACCAAGCACAGGCAGCTGCCTTTCAAAGATTCCTTTCTCTTATGCTCTGGCCTTCCCACTTCCAAACCAGTCTCAAGGAACAGTTCACCTTTCCTCCACAATGTCACTAGAATCTACCACTTCCTTTCATTCCCCCTGTACCTTATTGCAGGCCTCTTTAAATAAACAAAATTTTAAGTTGTTTACAATTATAATTTGCACTTTTGAAAAATGTCAAACACAAAAAGAGGTACACATAATCTCATCTCAACATCACTTCCTTAGGAATGCCTTCCTGATCCCCTGAACATCAGGTTCTCTAGCTCATGATAATGCATGTTTCATTCATACCACTTTCTACAAGAGTACCTTTACATGTGTGTGACTATGCGTTTAATGCCTTGTCCCCCAACCATGAGAGAAGGAACTGTTCGTTACTCCACATAGATTGAGTTCAAGAAACATTAAAAGAAATGAAGCAAAGAATGGTGGAACTGTGGTTTTTTTCCCCATTGTTGCTATTGTTGTTTCTACAAACTGTGATTGTAACAAATACAATATATTCGATAAATGAAAATAAAAAAAGAAAAACAGATTATTCAATACTTACATCCAACTTGAGTAGCTTTTCAATAATAAGCTCCAGAATTTCATGCCTCAATGTTGGAAAATACACACTAATCCTTAGTAAGTTATGAACATAACATTCCTAAAGCATAAAACATAAGATAAACATTTCAACAGTGAATAAAGGTTTCATAACTAAGTAAAATCTTAATTATAGAACTTTTTGTTTCAAATATTTAAATAGAAAAAATAAACTATCCAGCAGTATAGAAACTGTACTGTTTCCATATATGTATTATGTTCAGTATAATTATTCCAATTATCCCCAGTAAATTGAATTTGTTGTGTATCTTAAAGCAGTGCTTCTCTATCTGGGGTAATGTCTAAAGATCCTGTGGCCTTTTTTTATATATGTAAGTCCTTTATCAGATATATATTAGTAATTTGGAAATATTTTCTTCCCTCGAGATTACCTTTTCATTTTCTTGAAGGTGTCCTATGAAGCACAACAATTTTTAATTTTGAAG